CGTATCTTGCTGATCTAGATTCCTCTCTATTGTGAGCCTTTTTTCTCTCTTCTCTTCTTTGCCATTTGTGTACATATCTATTACTTACTTGTAAAATTTGAGTCTCGGATACAAAAACATGTACTGTAAATAAAGCATTTTACGTACCGTTAGTATTGTATTCTATTTGGTGCAATTGACTTAAGTATCGTAAGTATTAAAAGTGTAAGTGTTGTATTGTTTGTAAACATAACTCATGAAATCAAAAAAATAAATAAATAAATAAATAAACAAATAAAAAAAAAAATGAAATTCTAACAAAGCAAGGCCATCCTTTTGTTTCCTTTTTTGTGCTCTGAATGCAATCAAAACAGTTCCCAGACTGGTTCTTATTAGATCAACAGTATATAAAAAATGTTTTCTGGCTAAAAAGGAACAAACTTAACTGAGCTTTAAGCTGCCGTGCTTTCCTCTTCGGGCGACTAAAGGTATACAATGTAGCGAAAGTAGACACGTGCAAAGAAAATTTAAAAGTTAAATAGCCGGGGTAAATAAAAAAGTTCATGTTTATCAATAATGCATAGTTTTAACTAATGTTCCATGCAGTCGGTCACTTGGTTTTCATATATGTTTAATCCACACGAGAAAATCTCTTCCAAAGTCGGAAAGGGTGGAAATACTCGATTAACAACCTAAAGACGCGACATCGTACAAAAAATCCAGCTGAAGGTAAGCAAAGCAAACTTTCTTCTTGTTTATTTGTTACTTTTGGTTTCAGTTATTTGCGTTCCCTGATCGAAGGCATCCTTGGAATGGTCCAGCCACGTAATACGAGATTTTGAGTTCGCTTTTTGAGTGATGATAAGATGCTTCTCCATTAAGACATTGCCAGCGAGCCTAAGGGTCATCTTTATGAAAGAAATAGAGTTCCTTATTAATTTGAATTAGATAAAGCTTAGTAATAATTTCTCGCGACTTGTTTAATTTATATGGCAGATATTGCAAGTGAAAGTTATCGTGTCCTGCGCATAAAAATGCGTAAAGCGCTTACTTTTCAGAAATTTTATTTCCTGTAATTTTAAGCTAGATGCCCAACGAAACCATCGCGTTTCCCCGCTTATCCGTTGAAGAGACAAAAGTATCCCTCTATTTCTAAAAGTAATCCTAAGTTTTCGTAACTTTAAAGCAGCGATCTTTGGTTTGTTACGTAATGGAGTGAGAGCGATCTTTTAGATTGGGTAAGGCATAAGCATCTTCTATCTAGAATCTCTGTAGATGATGAAAACCGATTTAGACGTTCATGTCTAGTTATTGATCAAGAGTTACGTAAAATGTTGATTTTTGTAAAGGTTTTCGCTTCTGGAAAGCGGTAATGCGTGATTTGTTACGTAATATAAGAAGTTTTCATATCTGAAAAGCGACAATGTTTAGTTTAATTTGTTACTTAAAATAACCAAACTAAGACGAACAGGACGTTTAGTCCCTACACTGAATGGAAGGTATATATTTACCGGCAAACGACTTTTCAGAGTAAAAGGGACTGCGACAATTTGCAGCAGCCTACCATGAGCCAAGAATTGCGACAAAAAAGGTTTTTTTTATGAATTTCCAATTTACTGATTTGGCAATGCATATTCTTCGTTTCTTGTCAGGTGTTATGTTTCCCAAGTTCATCATGACAGTGTTGTTTGTGATTCTCAGTCACCCTCCGATGCAAGTCACTCTGGCCTCTGTCATGCAGTGCAAAGACGTAACCCGCTCCATTCCAGATCGTGTTTTAGCAGGTCACGTGTTTCTTACCAAACCAGCTCCAGGTATTGCAACTTGCGTGATGCTGTGCGACGAGCATCGTCCCTTGTGTGAAAGCATAAACTATTACCAGAATACAAAGGTTTGTGAATTAAATAACAAGACAGCAGATTCTAACCCAAAGGACATCAAGGATCATGAATGGGCAATCTACATGACCAACGGGGTGCGACTCCTCTCTTGTAATGACTTAGACTTCCAATGTGGAGGACAGACAGACATCTGTCAAATTAAGCCGAGCGGCAACAAGTGCAAAGGTATAACTAGTATATTTTCTAGAGTAAACCAGTTATCAAATTTAAGATTCATTTCTTTGAGATGATCACGACCAGGATCATTGATCTAAGATCTGTCGGATCATGGTGAAGAGAAGAGTGGCTTCGTCGGTTCCTTTTGATGTACCACGATACAGGTGGATCATTGATCGGGATAATGCCAAAGAAACACATCCTACGATCTGCTTATAAACGACAACAACAGTGCGACCATCCTCGAAGAACCAGAGGCAGCTAGTCGAAACGACGCGTTATTTTCGGTCGAAAGTTTACATCCGAACGGGAGAGCCTTACTTACTCTTACCATATCAGTTCCAGCGTGCGTTTGAATTTCTTTTCGCTGATTGGCCAGAAAAATAATTTTCTGGCTAATAAGCGGAAAGAAATTCAAGCACCTCTGGAACTAGTTCTGTAAGAGTGCCGGGGCTCTCCAGCTCTTGATGTAAACTTTCGACCGAAAATATCGCGTCGGTCCCCAAGGTTGCAGTAGAACGTAAATTAACTAACCAATCTATGCAAATCAGCAATCTATCCAATGACAATCTATCAATCTATTTGTCCGTCAGTCCCTCCAGCGTTTACAGCTTCGGGCTAAAGGCAGGCGTTCCTCTTTGCCACTGAGTAATTTGTCAGGTTTCCATATGTCGTTCCTAACAAATCTTCAGTCTTGAAACCTGTCAATTTCTCACGTACCAGACGGCTTACACTGAGTCGATTGAATCAGTTAGACCTTAGTTTAAGAAAGGTTGGAAAGACTAAAAGAACCACATTCACTATAAGATGACTGAGAAGAAAGCTTGACATTTTTTTTATTAGATTGCGCCGAGCCTTTAGGTATGGAAAATGGAAAGATTCCAGATTCTGCCCTAACTGCATCGTCTTTCACTCGTAATGGCCTTGATCCCCGATACGCCCGCTTACACTCAGCTACTTCGTGGTCTGCAGGCATCAATAATCGTAGCCAGTGGCTGCAAGTTGACCTTGGAATGGAGACAGCAATCAAGAAAATAGCTACTCAGTCAAAGCATGACTCCTTGCATAGGGTGACAACTTATGAAATTTTGTCTCTTGGTGATGGAGGAGAATGGGAGCCATACCTGGAGAACAACTCCGTGAAAGTGAGTCCTAAATTTATGAAGGACTCGTGGCACATATTAATCTAGTAAATGACCTAAATCCCGGTCATGATAAGTTTAGCCACTTCATCTACTGGTCTACCGAAGATTTTGTCGCTTCCATCTATCTGAATCTAAATTCGCCATATTGTCCTTTCCAGCTTCAGTTATTTCCAAAATTGGCCACTTTATATTGTCATTTTCATTTGGCTTCATTTGCCATCGCTGGAAAAAATGGTGACAAAGTTTTTTTCCAGTCCGTATGCCTCATAGTAACGATTTCAACAAAGAATCTAAAACCGACACAAAATACCCATGGGAGTCACTTGTTTTCGACTTAAGGCCCCATGGACACACAAAAAATGGTGACAGAGATTTTTGCATTCCGTGTGCCTCATACTAGCAATTCCAACAAAGAATCTAAAATGATCGCAAAATACCCATGGGGGGTCATTTGTTTCCGTCAAGGCCCTTGACGGTGAAGCTTTTGTCAGAAAACTTTAAGTGAGATGAAGTTGTGTCCATGCTTAGGCCTACCCCCTCTGCGCTAAAAAAATCTACGGACAAAGAAAGTAGTTAAATGACATGTTGTTCTAACCTTCAGCTGTTTTCGACGAATGGAGGAAGGAGAAAATTCCCCCTCCCTCCCGTTCAGAGAGAGAAAAGACCAGCTGATCGCAGGTTCTTGTTGGTCCTACCAGTATGCAAGATGCTTATTGCATATGAACCCGGTAAATGACTTAGCTCTCTGTAGCTCAGAGATACCAGCTGCCGACAGATATCCGGAAGTTCACGGGGTCGAATCCAACCGCAATCAGTTCTTCGACTCCTGCTTGCAACATGCTGGGAACATTTTATCTTCCACAGATATATTTTTTTGATTAGTACTGTAAGTTATTAATGGTACGTATTTATTTCAGGTATTTCAAGGAAACTTTGATAAAAATACAGTTGTTTCCCACGTGTTTCAGCAGCACATCAAGGCTCGTTTTGTGCGAATCTTGCCACAGACCTGGAATGTTCAAATCGCTATGAGGGTAGAGCTGTACGGCTGTTCACATGACTGAAAGCTTTTAATCGAACTTTAAAGTTAGATTGATACTGTTGACTATTAATTACTCTTAAAGTGCACGTGTGATAAGTTTAGACAAAAATTTGGAGAAAGTAGAGTAGATTAGG